CAGCCACGGGGCCGGCCCAGAGCCCTCGACTCTTAACCGCTTTCTTAAGCTCTTTCATTTATTGAAATAACTACAGTTATCTTTGCTACCATTCTGTAAAATCTAAGGAACATGATGGCTCAAGAAGGAAGCTTGAAACTTCAGCAACTTGAGAAAATGGGGGCACAGCCAAGGTGCAGCCACAAACACTAATGATGGAAAATTACTGCAAGTAATGAGTTTACCACCACAAAGGAAATTGGTGACCTGGAGTTAAGTAAGCAACATTCTGTTTTCACTTGATTCTTTACAGAACACCAAACAAGAGTACATCCATTATTCACCTTCAAATGTTTTTAGAAAGAGTAGGAAAATACTTCAGCTAGGTCTTCTAACTATCCCTTTACTTATTTCTTGTTTTCAATATTAATGGCCACTCTCTCCCCCACCTTGCTCAAGGTCTTAAATCCAGAAACCTCACCATCAATGTGTAAACTTAGGTTCCACATGGAAAGCTTTTAAATGCTTCCACACAGACAGACATACACTAACCCAATCAAGTAAAGATGCTAGGAAACTGAAAAAGGAGATGATGTGTACAAAGTAGTCAATATAGGCCAGCGCCGGATTCTAGTCCCGGTTGCCCCTCTTCCAGGCCAGCTCTCTGCTGCGGCCCGGGAGTGCAGTGGAGGATGGCCCAAGTGCTTGGGCCCTGCACCTGCATGGGAGACCAGGAGGACGTACCTGGCTCCTGGCTTCCGATTGGCGCAGCATGCCGGCCGTAGCGGCCATTTGGGGGGTGAACCAGCGGAAGGAAGACCTTTCCTCTCTCTCTCACTGTCTAACTCTGCCTGGCAAAAAAAAAAAAAAAAAAAAAGTAGTCAATCTACTCATATCCTGGGCACTTGTCAACACTGGGACATGTGAGAGAGAACCAGATGCAGGTGCTGATTCCATCACCAAGTAAGCTTACTGATAGTTTCATGTTCTAGGTTGTTGTCAGAGAATTAACCAGTGTTTCTCAATTTATGCTGAGCACACCTGAGGAAGTTGCTAAGAATTCTACTGGACACATCCCCGAGACTGTCCCAGGGGTCCAGTTATCTGCATTTCACCAGCATCCCAGAGATTCAAATGCTGCTGCCACCAAGGTGGATGCATGCCAGCTGCTCACACAGTGGGTCATTCACCTCAGGTGACTTCTGTCTAAGCATCTTCCACACGGGTAGACTGGGCACAACATGAAGAGGCCCAGCTGTGAAGACCACCACCCAGGACCTGCACCATGCAGGTCTCTGAGTTCAGTCCTGGACACCAACAGACCCAAGTTTAAGCTTTCCTGAAGCCGTTGCCATCTCCTTTACCCGTGGTCTGCAGTCCTACTGGCTTCAACAGGTAACATCCCTTCCCATGTTAGTGTATGTGTTGCCGAAGCGAGCACAACAGGTAACATCCCTTCCCATGTTAGTGCATGTGTTGCCGAAGCGAGCACAACAGGTAACATCCCTTCCAACGTTAGTGTATGTGTTGCTGAAGCGAGCACAACAGGTAACATCCCTTCCAACGTTAGTGTATGTGTTGCTGAAGCGAGCACAACAGGTAACATCTCTGAGTGGTTCTGATACCTGCATTACAAATCCTCCTATGATACTACCATGAATGCCAGGAAAAATAATTACAGCTCCTCCTGGTCCAAAGAGAAGGCACAGTGTACTCAGATACAGAAACCAACCCAGCCATGAATCATAAAGGGAAGGATCATTTCGCTGGAGAGAGCAAATTTTTAGTAGAAAAATGGTGGTTGTCTTTTAAGATCAAAATACAAAGACATATATTTCAGTGGGGAAAAAAATAAAAGACAGCATAGCATAGTAATTAAAAACATTTTAAAGATTTATTTTACTTGAAAGGCAGAGTTACAGAGAGAGGGGAAGACAGAATCTTCCATCTGCCAGTTCATTCCCCAAATGGCTGCAACAGCCAGGGCTGGGCCAGGGCAAAACCAGAAGCCAGTAGCTTCATCTGGGTTTCCCACATGGGTGCAGGGGCCTAGGGCCTTGGGCAATGCTCCACTGCTTTCCCAGGCACATTACCAGGAAGCTGGATTGGAAGTGGAGCAGCAGGGGTTCAAACTGGCACCCATATGGAATACCAGTGTTGCAGTCTGTGGATTAACTCACTATGCTACAGCAATGGCCTCAGAAATTAAAATTTTTAAAAATCAAGGCTTATTAGCAGTTATCCTGGGTTCCAACCACAAATACTTACCAGGCACAGACCATGAGCAATTCACTACCCTCTCCGACCCTCTGTTTAGTTATCTCTAACACAAAGATAATAAAATTTTAGAGGAAGACAAAGTGAATAGTAAAAGTTTTCAGAATAAGCCGGCGCCGTGGCTCAATAGGCTAATCCTCCACCTTGCGGCGCCGGCACACCGGGTTCTAGTCCCGGTTGGGGCGCCGGATTCTGTCCCGGTTGCCCCTCTTCCAGGCCAGCTCTCTGCTATGGCCAGGGAGTGCAGTGGAGGATGGCCCAGGTGCTTGGGCCCTGCACCCCATGGGAGACCAGGAAAAGCACCTGGCTCCTGGCTCCTGCCAGGATCAGCGCGGTGCGCCGGCTGCAGCGGCGGCCATTGGAGGGTGAACCAACGGCAAAGGAAGACCTTTCTCTCTCTGTCTCTCTCTCTCACTGTCCACTCTGCCTGTCAAAAAAAAAAAAAAAAAAAAAAAAAAAGTTTTCAGAATAGTAGCCAAGAATTATGATAAAGAATTCCTAAGACTCCTGCTCTTAGTATTGGTGAATATTCTAGAACACTGGTATGTTTACTGCTTCAAATTAATTTGGGCTGATCATAAAAATCTGGGCTTCCTAGAATTTTTCAGACCTCTAATCACTAATTCTCAGATACCACAAACTACCTGTTGTTATTATACAACACACATTTTGTCCTAATCCATCCCACTTAAATAACATCACAAGGCTTATTCTGACATTAGCAATTTCCTATAACCACTTAATAAAAAAGATGTTTTTCTCTTTTCTTGTGAACCATAATCCAGTTAGAAAAAATAATTTTTCTAAAACACTTCTCTAAGTAATGTGTATCTCTGTATGTGTGTGTATTCGCTTTTACTTTTCCTAGACAGTTTTCTCTTCTTTCAGAAGTGCTGGGAGAGACTCTGAAAGTGACTGCTACATGCCGAGATGCCTTTTCACACGCGCGCGAGGCCAGAAGTGCTTCAGATTCTGCAGCTGTCCAGTTGAGCATCTCTAATCTGAAAACTCATAATCTAAAATGTGCTGAAATCTGAGAGCTAGTTTGTTCTTCCTGTGCTTTTCACAAGTATAGCAATACCATTATACTAAGTTTAGTACTACACTTTTTCATTATAATTTTTTTAACATTTGCCACACTGACTTCAAATGTACACATCTATACATATACACTGTTTTTTCTTGACAACAGAGATATCAATATCAGCATGAGGGATTCTTGACAATGATCATAACATGGGGAAAGAAGAATACATTGTCATTTACATGGTATGATTTATGAAGCCATATTTATAACTAAATACCAAGTGAGATCACACTAAATTATTATACTCTGTATATATTAACTTCTATAAATAAGAGAAAACATGTGTTTCTGGCTCTGGCTTCTTTCATTTAGTGTAATGACCTCCAGTTCCATCCACTTTGTTAGAAATGTCAGGGCTTCATCCTTTTTTATGGCTCAGCAATATTCCATCGTGTATATATACCACGTTTTCTTTACATAATCACCAGTTGACGGACATCTAGGTCAATTCCACGTCTCTGCTACTGTGAACTGAGCTGCTATAAATGTGCGAGCACAGGCATCTCTTTCAAATGCTGGTTTCATTTCCTTTGGAAATATTCCCAGGAGTGGAGCAGCTGGGTCATTTGGTAGATCTATTTTTAGTTTTCTGAAGAAACTCCACAATGTTTGCTGCAATCTGCATTCCCAACGGTGCATTAGAGTACCTTTTTCTCCACAACCTCACCAGCATTCTTTTTGGGGGGTTTCTGGATAATAGCCGTTTTAACTGAGCTGAGGTGAAACCTCACTGTAGTTTTTAATTGCATTTCCCCGATGGTGAGTGATCCTGAGCATTTTTCATGTTCTGGTGGCCATTTCTATTTCATCTTTAAAAAATGACAGTTCAGGTGTCTTGCCCGTTTCTTAACCGGATTGATTGTTCTGCTGTTGCAGAGCTCCTTGAGCTCCTTGTATACTCTGGATATTAATCCTTTATCAGATGCATGGTTTGCAAATATTTCCACCATTCTGTCTGTTGTGTCTTCTGCTTTGTTAGTGTTTCTTGTGCAGGAGCTTCTCAGCTTGATGTAATCCCATTTGTCGACTTTTGCTTTTGTTCTAAATTTAAGAACGGTCACATTGATACAAATATAGGAGTAAGATAAATATAATTACAAATCAGTGCTCAAAATGTTTTTGATTTCAAAGCATTTCAGATTTTCAGATTAGGGATGTTCAAAGTCTACTTGAATTGATTCAGGTTTAGATACTGGGTTCAAAAATGCATGCTGGTTAGAGTTACGCACTGAAGTACTCTACACAGCTTGTTCCTCCTATATTTTTCATGATGTTTGGATTGAGCTAGAATTTGAACCCAGGCCTATAGGACTATAACTCTACTTCCTCTTTCTTAACCACGTAGTCTTTCAGAAGCTCTGAGGTAAAAACTGTAAACAAAACTGTTTTACAAATGATTTAGAAAAAAGTTATAATCACTGAAAATTGCACGAGGAAGCTACTCACAAATTTATACACTTACACAACTATATTCTTTCAAACAAATGCATGCTGAAGGCAGTCCAAAGGTTTGAAAACCAGGGATTTGTATTGACAAGGGCCAAATTTCATGGCAAAATTTTTTATAAAGAGTGAAAACAAAATGCAATACTTTTCTCCAATTCTAAAAATTAATATTCATAAGGTTGATAAAAGTCTTCAAGTAGTAATTAGTGAATTTTCAGTTTCTAAAAATATTTTTATTAAATAACTTAAATAGGATTTATACAAAGAAATTGCATAGAAAAGGGTAAAAAATGTTTATGTTCCCAGAACTTTCTATCCCCTTTTTAACATCCCGTCAGCTGCTATTACTTCTAGAGAGCTGCCCCAAGTGAACAGATTCGGTGTCACCCATTCTACTTCTTCCAGGGGTGCCCGTTCTGTTTCTCATAGGAAACGAAGGACGTCAACACCTTGCAGTCAGCATATCTTCAGGAGACGGTTGCTACACAGCGCTGGCTTCAAGTTTAGTTCCCTGTTGGTGGCGGTCAGTTTTAGGGAGCATCTCTTGGCACTTAGGAAGAGTTAAGGTGTTGCACAAGGTTTTCAAGACATTTCAAATAATAGGCATTTAGTGAGTTTTCTTCTGAGTTTGAGAAAGCTGAGAAAGAAAAATAAGAGTATAAAACTACTAGTTTCCTAAAATCAGCATTCCACTTAAGAGTGGCTACACACAAATATATCGATTTATATATAAAATTCCATACATATTTAAGCTCTTAATTTACGAACATCGTAAAGATATTTTACACTTAAAAATCAGGAAACTATAGAATTTGTGTTTATTTCTAATTAATGGTTTACCCAAAAGAATATTTTAAAAATATACCTCCATAATAGGTACCAGCTATATAGATTATTAACTACAATTTCAAATGAATGCCATTACTTTTTAAAAAATGTCTATCCTTCCTCAAGCACAAACTTCAATGTAACTCAATTATATACAACCTCTAGAAACTTATGGTCACAGATAAAAACAAACCAAAACTTCTCTCTCTTAAAAAAATCAGACTATAACAATACAGATTAAAGATCAATAGATCCATTACAGTAAATACACAGTTTATTGTGGTGAGAAAAATATGATTCAGAAAATGCTGAAAACTAGTATCAGCTAAAACGAGTAAAGCACTTTGAAAAGAACATCTTCTCTCATACCATGACCAGATCACACAAGGACACAGGGGTAATGACATCTGTTCTTGGAGAACCAAAATTTAACACCCTTATGCTAAATCAAAGTTTTTTGTTCAAGGTTAATGCTAATTGGGTCCAGTTCTTATCACCTAAGAACACACATTAGCACAGTGGTAGCCACTGGCAAAAGAAATTTAATAAAGAAAAAAAAATGACTTGGAGAAAGATCAAACACACATTTTAAGAAACTATTATATCTCAAACCATCATCTATAGAAATTTATTATTTTAATGTTACAAAGGAAATCAAGAAACAAATATTGGCACATTTTACAATGTTTTAACATTTTGGCAAAAAATTTCCTCAAATCCTAGCAAAAGAGTGTAAAAACTATCATTTTGCTACAGCTTGTCCAAATATTTCAATAACCAGAGAATTCACTTAATAGCCTCCAAGTTTAACTGTAATCTCTCTAATAAAACTTACCTTTCTTTGCTAAAGAATATGCTTCATCCACTCTTCTTTTTATTGATGGATTCCTCAAAGTTGTTTTTGCCTAGAGATAATAACAAACAAACCAAATATTAGATTTATTCACACATGTTAAGGACTGGGATATCAGGATATTAATTCTGCCCATTGCTATCTATATAGTCTTAAACAGGATATTATAAAACATAATAAACTATAGAATTATGTGAGCATGTCCTATTGTGCCATCCTATAATGCAACCATTCTACACATCCTGAAGTCTCACCCATAGCCTTTCTTATCTAATTTGATACTTTCTCTACTACCCATGTTCCTTCTTCTCCTTTCACCCCTAAAATCAATTTATTGTCTGAAACTTTAGTTTCAGTGTTTAATAGTCTTTCATAACTCAGATTTGAGAGTAAGCACAACAAACATTCCAAATTGGTCAACGAACATGTATTGAGTGGCTACAGACTGCCAAGTCCTGAGCTGTGCCCTGGGGACCGCTGGGTGGACAGGACAGCAGCACCTCTCTCCTCGTGTTGGGAGAACCACCGGCACAGACAGGTTGGCTGACAGCACCACTTCAGGAAGGTTGTCTACCTTGGCACTTGCGCTGTTTAATCACTAGGCACAGTTACCTCTTAGGAGTGATTAAAGACGAGAGGCCAGAGGAAGAGCAGACACAGTACCCACTTGGTCTCGGATTCACTCTGGGCAGACCCTACACAGAAGCTCCTAAGAACTGAGCAGACCTCAAAGCTCAGTGCTGATGTGCACTAGGGAAGGGGAATCCTATGACTGCATAAAAGTTCATCATCTGGTTTTACTTCAAGATGCATTTTTCCTTGACATAAATTTTAGAAGAAATGATCTTTCCTAAATTGTATATGGCAAATCCATTTAAATTACAGGAAAACTAACTTAAAACAGAGATACTCTTCTGAACTGAGACATTCAGTGAAAATAATTCAATAAAAATATTGACTGATAATTTCCTAACTGTATGCATGAACAAAGGAAATGTGTATCTGTGACTTCATTTGTGTTTATTTTACTAATACTCTTCTGAAATGGTTGGCAGTATCCTGGTCACTTGCCTGCCAGGTATGTCAATGATTTAAAAAACTGACCTTCTGATAATTGTAAATTAGAGCCCAAAGCGCAGCTGCTCCAATCCTCTGAGCATTTTGATTCTCACTTTCCAGACAGGCAGCTAGCACAGTAATGACTTTTTCTAAAAATAAACACATTAAAAAGAAAGTCCAGTTACAGACATTACATTGTATTCTTATCTTCAACTAGTTGAGTTCCCACATTCCCCCACTAGAATATATATACAAAAATGGTATCAGTAGACCACGGCAAACAATCTTTTATAATTCCTAATACAATGAGAGGCCAGCTTCAAAACAACTTGATTTCCTGACAGGTAGTAGAATGGTCAGAGAAGCTGAGGAGCCTACATTTTGTAGCACATTCAACAAAGGCACATTCATTTTATAACTCTAAGAATGCAAAAATAAATACACACTTACATTAACTACTTTTTCAATTACGGCTCACAATTTAGAATACAGGAAAATAGATTTGCTATCACAAGAAATCATAAAGACCATTATACAAACATACCAACAGTATGGCTGCCATATACAACAGTAATCAAGAAATACAACACAAGTTGTATGGCTGCTGTATAAAACAGTAATCAAGAAATACTATACCAGTTAAATCTTCTCTCTTAAAGATTCTTATTTATTTGAAAAGCAGCAGAGTTACAGAAATAGAGACAGACAGACAGACAGACAGATCAGGATCTTCCATCCAATAGTTCCCTCCCCAGATGGCTGCAATGACTGGGACTGGGCCGGCAGAAGGCAGGAGCGAGGAGCTTCATCCAGGTCTCCCATGTGGGTGCAGGGGTCCAAGCACTTGGGCTGTCTTCTACTGCTTTCCCAGACAAGCAACTGGGATTCAGACTGGTACCCACATGGGATGTCAGCATTGCAACAGTAGCTTTACCTGGTACTCCACAACTCAGTCCTCTAAATCCTTTTAAAAAGAACACTGGGGGCCAGCACTGTAGCACAGAGGGTTAAGAGTCACCAGCTACACTGGCATCCCCTATGAGCAACAGTTCATGTCTCAGCTATTCCACGTCAGATCTAGCTCCCTGCTCATGTGCCTGGGAAAGCAATGGAAGATGGTCCAACACTTGGGCCCCTACCACCTACAATGGAGACCTGGATGGAATTCTGGTTCCACCTGGCCCAGCCCCAGCCATTGTGGCCATTTAGGGAAAGAACCAGTGGATGGAAAATCTCTCTATCTTACTGTAAATCTTCGTTCAAATGAATAAATAAATCTTTTTAAATTAATAACTTTTAAAAATTAGAATATTACAAATTATATCTATCTATTTGAAAGAGAGAGAGAGAGAGAGAGAGAGAGAGAGAGAGACAGCTCCCATCCAATGGCTCCCTCCCCAGACATCTGCAATGGCCTTGGCTAGGCCAGACTTCCGGAACCAGGAAGCAGGAAACTCAATGCAGGTCTCCTACATGGGTGGCAGAGTCCCAACAACGGGAGTCATTACTTGATGCCTCCCCGGGTGTGCATTAGCAGGAAGTTAGAATACAGAGCAGAGCCAGTGTCAAAGCCAGGCACATGGGATGTAGGCATCCTAAGCAGCCACCTTTACTACTACACCAAACACCTGTCCCACAGCCATGTTTGCGTCTATGTTTGCCTGTGTGTGTCAGAGGAAAAGGTGATTTTAAGTCTTATCAATAAACAATATATGCCTTTTTATATTTTTCACAAAACTAAAGTATAAAATAAAGACATTAATTATCTACTAATTTTACATGAAGATTCACAGAAGTCTATTTCCAACAAAATGGTCAAGAAGTTTCAGTATAATATTTGAACATATTTTATTATTATTTTTAAATATATTAAATTGTATCAAACTATTTCCCTCTAAATTATGTAATTTTAAAAACTTGTTGCATCCCTAAAGTTGAAACATTACTGGGAGCTCTCTCTAGATGCATACATTAGCCACCTCCAGCCTGAACACAATGCGTAAAGTAACCTGCTGAAAACAAGGCCTGATTCTGCTCACTGGTGAGAGAGGACTTCAAAATGTTCCAAGAAGAAGGGAAGTAAAAGGGAAGGTTACTTTGGTGCAAAAATTTTTGAAAACCATGCATATGAGAGATCTGCAAAGAATCCCCAAAAATGTGTCTTTGAAAAACCTATAGATGAATCTCAAAATATTTTGTACCAAAATCAATGTATATTTTAATTCCATTTCCATAAATGTTTTGAAGTACTCCTGTACATATTTTAACCTCCAAGTTAATATATATTACAGTTTGAATAAATACTAGTTGCAGAAAATATTCCATAACTTAACTTACTTAATTGATTCTATTTGTTGTTGTTTTTTTTTTTTTAATTTAAGGAATTTTACATACTTTACAGGGAAAAAAGCTGCACAGTCACATCCATTGTGCAGTGGGAGCACGGTATGACAGGTGGGTGTGCATGCAGCAGTGCTCCCACCACAGGGCGCCCCACTGCCTCAATGCCTCATGTGCGCTGTCTGGTTCTTGGACTACCTTGTATCACAACCTATCTAGAACTAGCTCATAAAAATCATTAGACATATTTTAACGTGGGAGGTAAAAAGTGACACCTAGTACTCATTAGGATACATCATCAAGTGGGAAGGTTATTTCCTTTGTGTTCATCTGAGTACCACCAAATTTTAGCATATTGTACCAAATACTCAGAATATATAACCCTTGTGACCTAAGTAGGTTTATATAACTCCTTATGGATGCTAGTTTGAGTCCTGGTTGCACTAGCTCTCTGGTAGTGTGCCTGGGAAGTCAGTGGAAGATGGTCCAAGTCCTTGGGCACCTGCCCCAATGTAGGAGACCCAGAAAAACTCCTGGCTCCTAGTTTTGGCCTGGCCCAGCCTCGGCCATTGCTGCCACTTGGGGAGGGAATCAGCAGAGGGAGGCTTGCGCCTGCTTGGTATCTCTCTCTCATCTGTAACTCTTTCAAACAAACAATATATAAAAAAATTTTAATTGTGTGTGTATGTGTATGTGTGACAGAGAGAAAGAGGGAAAGGGAAGAGAATCAATATGGCAGCACCCTCTCATAATGCAAGTGAATTAATTTTTTTAGTCATATTTTATTGTGGAAAATTACATACAAAAAAGCACATAAAATATAGTTTTATGTTTGAGCTCCCAAATAAATGTATAAATAAGACAATATATATCAGTAAAATGCAGTTAAATAATTAGGAAAGGATGAGTTTTATATATTTATTAACTTTCTTAATAAAAACTGTCTAATTATAAGCTCAGGGATATGTTCTAAGTGGTCTGAAGTCAGCTCTAGTGAGAATATTTCCACCACAAAAATCAACAAACACTAAATATCAAAACTGATTCAATGGTCAAGCTGAAAGAAATTTGTTTAATGAATAGACATGTACCTCAAAAAGTTTGTGGAAAGACAGAATTAAAAAATAAGTTTACTTTAGTGTAAAATAAAAGACCTTTTGAAATCCATGCATTTTTTTTTGTAATACACTTTTTTTTTCATGAATTTCTGGGGAGTTTATTACACAACTCTCTACTTTGGTATGCCTGCAATTTTCTCTAACAGAATATTTTTAAAAAGAAAGAAAATATGAAGAGGAATCTCAAAAGAAATCAAGTCCCATCTAAGTGACAGTGTGGAGATCAGTCTTGTGTCATCGCAAGTTAAACAGCCACTTGGGACACTGGCATCCTTCTGCTCCACTTTGGATCCAGCTCCCCTCTAGTGCACCTGGGAAAAAAGAGGAAGATGGCCCAAGCACCTGGGCTCTTGCCACCCACATTGGAGACTGTGATGGAGTTCTTGGCTCCAGCTCCAGCCTGGCCCAACTTCAGCCATCATGGCCACCTGGGGAGTGAACCAGCAGATGGAGGATTGCTCTCTATGTCACTGTGCCCTTCAAATAAATAAATGAATTTTTAAAAATAATAAATGATAGGACAAAGAAATTATTTTAAATTTCTTGGGAACTGTGAATTAGATTTGGTAACCACAAAATCTTTAAGAAATTAAACAGAACAGAAAAATAGCAGAACGCAGCCTTCTAAGTACTGTTTTGTAAAGTATTTTACATTATATATGCATGTGTGTACTCAATGAAAACTTTTTTTACTGTTATTGATAAAAACAAGTTTGAAAAACATAGACCTAATAGATAGAAACATAGCTTTGTGCCAACATAATTTAGTAATGAATTTTAAACTACTGAAAAATACACACAGGAACCCAAGTATCCATAGTAAGAAACAGATAAACAAATGGGAGAAGGAAAAAAGGTTTTGATTACCATTAATGTCAAGCGCTAACTGGTAAATGTGGAGAGTGCCAGAGTCGGCAAATTAAAAGCAGCAGTGAATGCTAAGTCCAGGAGGAAATGTTGGTGAGAAGCTGTGGAATTATAATTCCATGGTCTCTAGGCATCTAAAAAGCATCCAGGGGAGAACCTGGACAATATTTTGTCAGGATGATCGAAACATCACCACCATTGTAGGCAAAGGATACGCTGTGCCTCTATGTATGTCACTCTGAGGACACAGCATCCCTCACGTAATAACTCTACCCGGGCTCACAGTACCTGAAGCTACTGACTCAGAAATAACGGACAAACTCACATGAGAAACACTCCAGTTTTTAAAAGACACAGAGGCAAGGACTACCACAATACACACTTTCCCATGAACCTTTCAAGGACCCCTTACATATTCATCAAAGGAGTTAGAAATCACTTTAACAGTACATTATTATCATCAAATTTAATGACAATAAATACATTTATCTGGAAAAAAGAAGATTGGGATGCAATTCCTTTTGTCATGTCACTACTGAATGCGAACTATAAATTGGCTACTGATACTAGAGTTTAGCCAAAATCAGTGAAAGTACTCTGTGAGAATAAATTAGCCATAGAGAACTTAAATAGAGTACTGCTTATCATACCACTATCTGTGTGTTGTACACTCTAGCAAAATTTATATATATAAATATAAATGAGGGTTTATAAAAAGTTTGTGGAAAATGGAATTAAAATATTAAAATGTAAGTTGATTTTGGTGCCAAAGAATTTTTTAAAGATATATTTATTTACTTATTTGAAGATGTATTTACTTACTT